ACCTCCAGCTTCCCAATGTTTTTTGATCTTACATTCCAGGTTCCTATGCAGTATTTTTCTTTACAGCTGAGCGTCCTTTTGGCTTTGGCCCAACCACTTCATTAGCTCTGAAGCTACTTGTACTTGTCCTCTGCTCTTCCTCAGTAGCATGATGGACGCCTTCCGACCTGAGGGGCCCATCTTCCAGCGTCATATCTTTTAGCCTTTTGTTTATGTCCATAGAATTCTCTTGGCAAAGATACTGGAGTGGCTTGCCAATTCCTGCTCCAGGTGGACCGCGTTGGGTGTTCCTACATGGCATAGCCCATAGCTTCTCTGAATTACTGAAGCCCCTTAACCACGACAAGGCAGCAATCCGTGAAGGATAAGATTAAAAATATTAAAAGAAAATTCCTAGAAATATATATGAAGTTACCAGACGTAGCCACTAGTGGGAGCCAGAGAGCATGCTATGTATATGATGACATTATTATTTATGTATTTTATTAGATTTATACCCCGCCCATCTAGACCAATGGTTACCAGAACTGGCCATTAGAGAGAGTCAGAGGTCATCCTGTATATCAGTGACGGCGAACCTATGGCACGTGTGCCACAGCTGGCACGCAGAGCTGTCTCGGCGGGCACGCAAGCCATAAGTTGCCAGATCGCTACCCCTGGCAACCGAACCTGAGGAGGCGACTGCAGCCGTGGTGCTAGCACCCCAACAGGTGGCGGGCCAGGATCCAGAGCACCTGACAATGGCTGGGCACGATTGGAGGTGTATCCAGAGTGGGGTCTGGAGGCACGTCCGTCCCCGGGATTCCCCCTTCCACTGCCACTTCCACCGCCATTATTTCTACTTCCGCCATTGCCTGCTGGGTTGTTGTTTTTCCCCCCAGTTTGGGCACTCAGGCTCAAAAAGGTTAGCCATCACTGCTGTATATAGTGTTTGTTATTAAAATAGTGTGTTGCTATAATCCGATCCCCTGCGGATGCAGGGGTCCTCTTGTGATTCAAAACATAAAAGGAATGTTTCCCATTTCTGCTTTCTCCACACCACGGATTGTGTTTTCTGCCTCTTTCCATCCCAGGTCTTCTTATGCCAGATATTGCCGGGACCGCTTATAGTGTTCGTTATTAAAATAGTGTGTCGCTATAATCCGTGTTTTTCAGCATCCTCAGGCGGGCTTGGAACCGATCCCCTGCGGATACAGGGGTCCTCTTGTGATTCAAAACATAAAAGGAATGTTTCCCATTTCTGCTTTCTCCACACCACGGATTGTGTTTTCTGCCTCTTTCCATCCCAGGTCTTCTTATGCCAGATATTGCCGGGACCGCTTCTCTGATGGACATTGCGATCAAGGGTGCAACACGGCCTCCTGCGGATGGGATGGGGGAGACTGCTTGCCTTATCCTGCCCCAGCCAAGGCGCCGACCGTGGGCCTGGCTGTCCTGCTCGTCCGGGAGGACCTGCCCCAGTTCTTGCGCTCTCTCACTGTTGCCACGCGGGCTGTGCTGCGAGTTCAGCGGGATGTCCAGAGCAAGGAGAGGATCTACGCGTACACGGGGAAGGAAGAGCTCGGAAGCAGGAGCAACTGGACAGGGGCCCAGCGAACGACTTTGGCAGACACCATTGGGTGAGAGGAGAGAGAGAGTATAGCTCTGCCCTTACACGTTCATCCCTGCACCTTTGGGTGCATTTGCCTTAGGGATGGAACACCCAGAAATCTTCTGGAATTGCCCTAGCTAGAGTTCGGGGGGCTGTAAACCCCCTTAAAAAGGCTCCATGGCACTGCAAAGCCATAGGGGTATGGACGTTTCCCTCCCCATTAAGCCCTGTTTCTCAGGAAACAACACTAACCCTGATGCTTTGCAGTGCTACAGAACTTCCGCCCTGCCCAGGCAGTTCCTCTTAATCAGAAGTCAGAAACGGAGGGATGTTTTTTGCAGTTCTGCCCAAGCTGTAAGATATATCAAACAGCTGAGAGAGCGTTTTTGGGGTGAGGGGACAGCTAAAGCCCCCATAATTCCAGTGGAGCCATTCCAACTGACTTCTGAATGCTATCATTAAAAACAGCAGCAGCAGCAGCAACAACAACAACAACACACATACACACACACTCCATCCCTGGGTTGCACAATTAAACTGCTAATACCAGAAAGCCAGAGTCAGCCCTGCCGTTAGGTAGAGTAAGGCAGCTACCTTAGGCAACAGATGAGGAGTTTCATAAAAGGAAGTTCCTGCCTTTTTATCTCTGCCTTTGAGAAGGCTTAAGGACCTCCTGTTATTTAAAGCAACAACTTCCACAGTCCTTTGTTATTAGCATAGTGGATGGGGCGGCCACTGTTTATAAAGCCGGAACACACGCAACCTCATCATACTTTAGAAGCTAAACAGAGGCAGGCCTGAGTTATCCTTGGAGGGAAATCCGCCAGTATAGCAAGGATCTCCAGGGAGAATTAGGAGAGCATCCGGCCTCCTAGACCTGCTAGATTCACTAGAAAGCGAAGACTATTCTAGTTCTCCAAATCTGGGCAACCCTATTTGCAGATTATGCAAAATATGTCACCTTATTGGCATATTGTGCAAAAAAATGAGGAGAGAAGAACTGTGTAAAGTAGCCTTTGAACATGTGTGTAAAAATGTAGAAATTAGGCCGTTATGCCAAGCATAGGGGGTTCTGGCCATAATGTCATGAAATGGCTGTTGGATCTTTCTCGTCATTTTTTACGACGGATAGCAGAAGACACCTCAAGATCCACGAGAATACCGCAGGAATCCCCCTTGAGTGACATGAAATTGAGTGGAGTGGATAACATGTCATTCCCTTCAGAGACAGGATTGGATATTTTATTATATCTTAGAAATATCATAGCTTAGCATTCTTTGCAATATTTGACTACCCATAACTTTGTATTTAAAAGACAGAACAACAGATCTATTAGTTGTTGGAGGTTTTCCGGGCTCTTTGGCCGTGTTCTGAAGGTTTATCGCCAGTCTCTGTGGCCGCCATCTTCACAGGACAGGAGCTAGAACTCTGTGTTCTGGTGTAGTGTGTGGGATAGTTGAGTATTTGAAGCTGCGAGATCAGCTTTTTGTCCTTTTCAGGAGATTGGGTGATTATGGTGATCAGGGTGTTTTTCATTATGGGTGTATTGTTGTGATTAAAGGGGGGAGGTGATCTGTTACTGTGATTGATGGGCGCTGTTAGCTAGTCTTGTGTGTGTAGTGATCACTGGTCCTTGTGGCTGGGTAAAGTTTGTTGACCTTTTTGCAGGCTATATTTTTTAGTGCTGGGAGCCAGGCTTTGTTGAGTGTTAGACTTTTTTGTTGTTGAAGCTCTGCTGGTGTTTGCGGATTTCAGTGGCTTCTCTGTGCAGTCTAACATAATGATTGCTGGTGTTATCCAGCAGATCTATTGTCTATGTATCCCATGTGCCAAAACCAGGCGAGTGTTGGTCCCTTGTAATCACAGCAATATTTTGCTTCTCCTCTTTATAAATCTTGCCTTGACCTCAGCTCCATCTAGCGGCTGCTTTTTTTTTTTTATAGAAACCCTGCTGTAAAAGTTTGAATCATTTACTTGTTGGGGTAATCATCATCATCATCCTAGAATAGTGGAGCTGGAAGGGACCTTATGATTCATTGAATCCAGTCCCTCTCAAAGAGGCACAGTGGGGAATTCAATGCCGAAACTCTGGCTCTGCATCCAGATGGCTAAACCACTGAGCTATCCAGCCATTCATTGACACCATCTAAAATGGAATGGCCACTGACCATGGAGGCTGGGAGATTCTTGTTTTTACCAAGACAGTAACATTGCTAATCTCTACATCTTGATAAATTCAAAGTTATCAGTGTTGTGTGCACATCTACTGATGCACAAGACCCATTTAGCTTAGGGAGATAGATATTTAAGTAGCAAAAAGGAAGAGCCATATGGTACTCTTAAGAAAAATCCACATAGAATTAGTTATTTGAAAATGGCTCTGTCATTTTTTTTATCACTGTTTGAAATCTGTTGCTAGAAATTTCAGATCTGCAGTAACTATCATTTCAAGCAGTTTAACTCACAGTAATAATGACACACACACACACACACACACACAAACACACACTCTCACACACACCGCAGGCTGAACAAAACATACCACTTCCTTATGCCTTTCTTATACCCTTTCCTCAATAGATCAGATCCATTTACTCTTCTTAGTCAAGATAATGAGCATCAAAAGGAACTGTGAAGAATAGAGATGGAACCCCCCACGAATCCCCTGGAAAAATAAACCAGATCTTGATTTGTTTTTCCAGTTCGTACCCGGGGGAACCGACCACCCCTGCCCCCTCTGTCTCCCCCCCTTTCCCACGGCCCCCATCGCCCCAGGATCCTACCTGGTCCTGCTGCGGCTGCCACCACCTCTGCCACCGCCACGGCCATCCTCTAGACAGGAACCAGGCCGGCTGTCACTGCGCATGTGCCTGCCGATCAGCTGATAAGGTGCGCACATGCACAGATCCCGTTGGCCCCCTCCTCCCATACACTGGGACACCTCTCGTGAGGGACACCACACAGACAACAAGACCAATCCCCCTTCTAGTGGCTCCCTAAATGAACATCCTCCTATTTACCATATTTTCCATGTATAAGACGCCCCCATGTATAAGACGCCTACCAGCTTTCTAACCCCAAATTAAGAAATCTAAGTGGGGCTTAGCAAGTGTAGAGGGGAAGGGATCAAAGAACTGCAGGATCGCTTTGATCCCTGCTTTCCCCTCCACTTGTGTTTATTCTCTCCTCAGCTTACTTCCGTGTATAAGAGGACCCTCAATTTTTAGTCTAAAGATTTTAGACAAAAGTATAGTCTTATACATGGAAAAATATGGTAATTCTAAACATTACAGGAAATATTTCTGGCCTACATGTCGCCCACACTTCAAAGTAGGTGTCTATAATTTATGAGCTGCTCTTATAAGGTTTCTTCCCATCATCACCATTTTTCTTTTCTTATAGTTCCTCATCATGCTTGTTTAAACATCCATGATTGTAGAACAAAAGATTTATTGACTGATCTTGTCTAGGGATGAGTTCATCATCTCCACTGACCGGCATTTTTTTCTCTCTCGCTCGTTGCAGATTTACCGTCTTCCTGACTGTGGACAGGAGCTCGTGCTTAAAGCTGTGCCCCACCTCCCCTAAATCGGTCCAGTATTTCTTGGGGGCCTTGTCCGCGAAAGGACTTCTTGAATCCTCAGTCCCATACATGGTGGTCGCTGCCTGGCTAGAATCAGTGGAAAATGGTATACCACATGGGATGATGATGGGATGGTGGTACAGAGGGAAATTTAGAAGTGTGAGGCTCCAGCAAGAAAATCCCCATAGCGACCTCCCCACAAGAACCCTCTAAGACACCGGCAGTTGGATCAATCCAACCAGCCAATGAGGAGCAGGTCTTTTGTAAAGCGAATGGCTCTTAACTGCCCATTCAAGACCAACCCTACCCTCACATATTTTGCATTATAAGAACCAGGATAGCTTGAGAGAATGACAGATGGTTGTATATATATTTTTAATGCCTCCATCCTTAGAGTGCTCAACATCGTTGAGGTTACTGATTCCGTTGTCGTACTGCTCTAACAGTTAAGAGGTTTTTCCTGATATTCAGCCTAAATATGCCTTCCTGTAGCTTGAGCCCATTATTGCGTGTCCTGCACTCTGGGATGATCGAGGACAGATCCTGCCCCTCCTCTGTAGGACAGCCTTTCAAGGATCTGAAGAGGGCTATCCTATCTCCCCTCAATCTTCTTTTCTCAACTCTGCTTACAGCACACCGCTGCATGAGGGGTGGGGTGGCGCAGAATTTATCAGGGTTTGAGAGAACCGCTAGGCCTGTAACGAATGACTATTTTGAACATGACTTCACACGCTTTGCAAGACCGGCAGTTCCTCATATCTCTTCTCCCCACCGATCAGATCCGGAGCCCTCGGTGTCCCCATTCTCCGGACCTCTCCTTTACGGTGTGGTGGGTGGCGTGCTGGTGTTAGCGCTGATCGTCTTTTTCGGAGTGTGGAGGGCTCGCCGGCCCCCGCAAAGGGAACACGGCTCACTCTGGTTTCCGCCTGGGTGTGCTCCACACCAGGGCAAGAAACGCCGCTGTCGGAGGGAACCGGTGGGGGAAGATGCGATTGGACTAAAGTGAGTATAAAAGGCAAAGCCAGTTTTGGCTGGATCTAATGGGACAGCTGGATCTTTGTTTATATGTACTTATTTAAAAATATTTCTATTCTGCCATTTTCCTCCAAGAAGACCCAGGGCAGCCCAAATCCTCAAAAACAGTATTTAAAGCTAAAAGCAGTATGTATACCACTCTTGAAAAGGATCAGACTACAGTAGAAGATGGCAAACAAAAGCAACTCCAAAAACACATTCAAAGAAGTAAAGCACAGCCATCCATTGATAGCCAGGATCACTCAGGGAAAGCCTGCCTGAAGAGAAAAGTCTTGTCCTGCTTGCGGAAGAACAGCCAAGAGAGGGCCAGTCCAGTCTCCAGTGGGAGGGAGTTCCAAAGTCCGGGAGCAGCCACAGAGAAGGCTCTCTCCCGTGTCCTCACTAAATGTACCTGTGAAGGTGGTGGGACTGAGAGAAAGGTCTCTCCTGATGATCTTAACACCTGAGTCAGCTCATCATGGGAGATACGATCTTTGAGAAAACTTGGACCCAGACCCTTTAGGGCCTTATAGGTTAAAACCAGCACTTCAAATAGTACTGGTTTCAACCTATAAACTGATCGGCAGCCAGTGGAGCTGCTGTAAAAGGGGGGATTTGTGTGATCCCTGTGACTAGCCCCAGTAAGCAATCTAGTGGCAGCAATTTGGATCCTCGGAAGTTTCCAAACAATTTCCAGAAGCAACCCCACATTGAGTGTGTAATAGCAATTCAGATGTACGTAACTATGACATGTGTCACTGTGGCCGAATCAGACTGTACAAAATTGTTTCCAGCCCCATTTGGAAAGTGGCGTCCTTTCCGTTATTTGAGATTTTTTTTTAAAACAGAGCCTGGATAGTTCTCTCAAAAGTCCTTGAGCCTGTGAGCAGCTTATAAGTGTAAAATGCAGTCAACCGACATTAGAAATCGTTTAAAGCATGGAAAGGATTGAAAATGAATAAAAAACTTTTTAAAAAATAATAAAAAAACAAATTGATTAAACCAGCCATAGGTTGTGAGATATTCTGCCTCAGGTAACCATGTAGCTTTCCTGCCTTTGGGTCCAAAACACTGAGGAAGAAGTTGCCGTTTATTCCTCCATTTCAGGCCACAAAGCCTCTTGGGGTGCAAAATTGCCTCCCTATCCGGGAAGGGACAACAGTCAACCTCTTGTCAACATTTTACCTAATCCTACTACTGTACCTCTGTCCCAATGCAGGCCAATGAAGCCGGGGACCGAGTTTGTGGAGGACCCCGATATGTGCTCCAGCCCTCACTTCGACGGACCTCTGAACACCAAAGATAGGAAGGTATTTGGGCAGGAAAAAATAAACAGAGCGTTTCCAGGCTGCCCCAGGTATCAGCAGCCTCATCCCGCTTTAATTCTCGTGGCTGTGCCCCATGGAATCCTGGGAAGTGTAGTTTGAGGAGTTGCTTTGAATGCACCCTTATTCTTCGGGAGAAGAGAGAGTTCTAAATATCTCACCAAACTCTAAACACAAGGATTCCTTAGGATGTTGCCATGGAAATTAGAGCAGCATCAAGACAGTAGTAACTGTGTACTATTACATAGGATTTTCATATCTTCAGGGAATGATTCTAAGCCCCCCCTGATGCAAAATAATGTGGATAATAGTGAACCCTATACTGTATATGGCGTAGTCTCAGTCCCTCTAGTGGCTAATTCTGGTAATTACCTCATGGAAACATATATATTGGGGGGGGCTGTATATGGCATAGTCTCAGTCCCTCTAGTGGCCAATTCTGGTAATTACCTCATGGAAACATGTATATTGGGGGGGGGTGTCTGTTAACGTTTTAAATATTTTCAAACCACAAATAAGTGAAGACATGGATACCGATCCTGCAGATATGGGGGTCCTACTACTGTATATAGATATATTTAAGATTTGCAGATAATGCAAAATGTCAATGCTCCACTAGGGGGTGCTAGAGCTGAATGTCTTTAATACTCTCTCATCTACAGGGTGATCCAGATTCTATCTCGATCCCAGATCAAGACCAAGTGAAGCCAAAGAAGCAGTTCATTAACACAACCCAAGAAAAAGGCACCAAGCCAAAGGCTGTCAAAACCCAAGTGCCAGGTAAGAAGATTTGCCTGCCTTCAAGGGAAGCTGGTGGCGCAGCAGGAGAAAGTCCCATCCCTGCAGCACAAAGCATAGCACAGGGAGATCCCACTTGCTATTGGCAAAGTGTGGGAATTCATTGGCTTAAAAACCTCTTACACAGCAGATAAATGTTTGTGGACCTACTGAGCAGAATTAACTTCAAGTCTCTCCTCAGTAGACCACCCCTTGTTATTTAACTCTCCTCAACTGGCACTTACTGTCTCAGTCAATTACTCTCAGAGACAACAGTAAGAGAAAAGAGTAACATGTTCCATTTACTCACAGTTCTTCATATATCAAAACATACAGCATTCTGTAGAAAATTATTAACTGGTTTCATAAAGAGAGCTTAACTACATAGCTTCATATAACGTGGCTGGCAGAAGACGGACTATATAGCTAATTCAAACTATCCACAGATTGACTGACTAATAAGAGTGTGAAAGGAAGTCTTGAGTTCAGAAGCGTGGTTTTCTTCAAAATTTTGAGGCAGAGAAGGAACAATTGGTTGCTGCTCGATTGATTGACAGCTTTTCCAGTCCAAAAAAAAAAAGGTCCCTACCAGCCAATACCTCTGAAAGGCAACATAGGTGGGTGCAATAATTCCAACACCTGCAGAGCAGGAACAACCCATGGAAGGCAAGCTAGGAAGCAATGTGCGGAACCTGGGCACACTGGACTTTTTCTGGAAGACTACAACTTCCAGAACCCTTAGCCGATCCAGAGAATGGGAGTTGTAGTCCCAAGGCGTCATTTCTCCAAACTCAGCACTCCATGTATCCCGAAGGGAGAGAGAAGGGTTTGTATACTCCCATTAAACTGTGGATTAAGGCCAGGTCAGGTGGGTTAATTCCCAGTCAAAAATTTCTCCAGCCTGCCTCTAATAGCAGGAGCCCAGGAAAGATGTAACACCCAAGGGCTGAATTGGGAGAGGCAAGTTGGACTCCCGTGAAATTCACAGCTTCGCCACTGCCCAGGCATTCCTTCCCAGCATGACTTACTTCGCAGGCTTCTTAGGAAGACCGGTGGGGGCGGAGGCAGGAAACTTATTGACAGAATGGCTACATATGTCTCTCTCTCTCTCTCTCTCTCTCTTTCTGTGCATGTGTGTGTGTGTGATTAATAAATTAGGACCAGAATCTTCTTGGTATTTGCATAAGGTTTGCATAAAGGTTAAAGTTCCCCTTGACATTTAGTCCAGTCATGTCCGTCTCCAAGCCGTAGAGCTAGCGTTTTGTCCGAAGACAGTTTCCGTGGTCACGTGGCCAGCGCGACTAGACACAGAACACCGTTACCTTCCCACCGAGGTGGTCCCTATTTATCTACTCGCATTTTTGCATGCTTTTGAACTGCTAGGTTCGCCGGAGGTTTGCATAACTCGCTGCAATTAATTGTGACTCATGGTCACGCGTCAAGGCATGTCTAAACTGCATGCCAGCCTGTGCGCCTGACCGCACAACCAAGATGCACCATGGTACCTAATCAACTATCTTTAAGTTATGTCAACCTTATGTGAACACCATTAGGATTCCAACATGTACCAGAAAAATACATAGTGGAATTGACTAAAACAGGAAGTCCCGCCTTCACCATCCGCAATCCTCTTTTTCCATCCACCCCCACCGCTGCCGCCACTCCTTTTCACTCCTTGCCTTCCTTTCCACCCTCAGTTTGTGGGCTGACCCCCTTGATGCCTTTGGCCCCTTCTCCCGGGTTAGAGTTGGAAGGACCCTGGGCAGACAGACCAACGGACAGCCCTGGAGAGACTCCCCTCCACCTCGCCGCCCGATACTCTCGTGCTGATGCCGCCCGCCGACTCCTGGCATCCGGAGCCGACGTCAATGCCCTGGACCAGTGGGGACGGACCCCCTTGCACAGCGCCATAGCAGCCGATGCACTGGGCGTCTTCCAGGTGAAAACAGGGAGTGGGGGGAACTGTAATACTCTTGCACAGCCCAAACATCATGGCCTCCCTATGAGTAACCCACACTGTCATCTGCAGGGGGAGGAGGTGAAGGCTGTTCTAGGTAAGTCAATACCTCCTCCTTCCCTAGTTGCCCTAGAAGAGATTTTCAGTTCTGGGTGTGATTTATCTTGAGATGAACAACACACTGTGTGTAGCCTGTGTCCCACTGCTGTGGCAAACACTGCCCCCCCCAAGATGCCAAGTCTCACTACCATTGCTGCGTTCAGTGCGAAACTGCCAGATTTCAAGGGTGCTGTACTGTAGCTGTGTGTTCTTGTTTGTCTGCTGAAACAAGGTATACATGGATTGCACACCTTGTTTTAAAAGGGAACCACATTCTTGAAAGCCTTCCAAGAGGCGCAATTGTCTTCCGGAGCTGAAGTGTGTTGTCCATGACTTGTTTTAGCATGAAACCGGAGGCGTGGCAACTGGAAGCTGGGCTGGGGAGGGCCCCTTCAGATTCCCACCAAATGTTCAGGATGGCCACGTGCGTGCCCCCTGCTCGTGGCAGAATCTGGGCGGCCAAAATCGGACTCTTCCAAGTCACACAAACACCCGTTGCCGTTCATGCTTGGATTTTGTTGAACTGTGTTCAAGCTGAATTCAGCTTCCTGTAATCTCAGCTTTTTTTTTTAAACACACAAATGCCTAGCCTTTTTAAATGTCTGTTTCTAAGTCCATGAACACGCGAAGAGGCCGAATCAGTGTCCTAGTCCATCTAGAAAGCGTTCGTCTCATGAACGATGGGCCTTGCAATACTCCTCTGAAGTTGAGAGTGGGAGGCAGAGCTTGCATTTTCTCTGAGGTCATTTCACACAGGCCTGGGATGGGGATTTACTCCTGGGAAAGGCCCACCCCTTCCTGCCAAATTACGTTTACTTGTCACATAGTTGGAATTAGGAAAGTAAACCTCTTGGCTTTTCATTGGGTTTTATGTGCATTTTAGAAGGGAAAGGGATTTTTAGCCCAAAAACGTACTACAGTATTTGTACAAAATAGAAGGCTTTTTAGTAATGCAACTGATCGTGAAAAAAGCCCTGGTCTTTTCATACTTAGGCAGGAATCAAAAATCTCACCATGGATGATTGTTGGATGCATCAGGATATCTTTTTTTTTCATTGAGGACAATTCGAAGATGAGCTTATGGGGAGGGAGGGAGGGAGGACTCCTAAGGAGAGAGACATCTTCTCAACCCCTTAGTTACCCCTCTTAGCCTTAACATGGTCTTGGTTTGACTGATCGCTGTAGAATTTAACTGATGAACAAAAGCTCTCTCCAACAGATCCTTCTCCGGCAAAGACAGACAGACCTGGATGCCTCCGCCCATGACGGATCCACCCCACTGATACTCGCCACCCGGCTCGGGGTTGAAAATATGGTGGAGGAGCTGGTGGCCAATCAGGCAGATGTCAGGGCCACAGACAAGAGAGGTGAACGTCTTACGTGTCATGGGGCTGACGGCTCAGTAAGGGGGAGGGTGCCCTTCTAGGACGAGAGAGCACCCCCAATGGTGGATGGAATACATGGAGGTGGAATGAAGGTTGCAGAAGTGGAATGCAGAGAGACAGGACACAAAAAGGGGAAATGCAGGTAAGTGGAATGCAGAGAGACAGAACTCAGAAAGTGGAATGCAGAGAGAGAGAATGCAGAAAGTGGAATGCAGAGAGACTGAACACAGAAAGTGGAATACAGAGAGACAGAACGCAGAGAGTGGAATACAGAGAGACAGAACACAAAAAGGGGAAATGCAGGAAAGTGGAATGAAGAGAGACAGAACTCAGAAAGTGGAATGCAGAGAGAGAGAATGCAGAAAGTGGAATGCAGAGAGACTGAACACAAAAAGGGGAAATGCAGGAAAGTGGAATGCAGAGAGACAGAACTCAGAAAGTGGAATGCAGAGAGACAGAATGCAGAAAGTGGAATGCAGAGAGACTGAACACAAAAAGGGGAAATGCAGGAAAGTGGAATGAAGAGAGACAGAACTCAGAAAGTGGAATGCAGAGAGAGAGAATGCAGAAAGTGGAATGCAGAGAGACTGAACACAGAAAGTGGAATGCAGAGAGACAGAACACAAAAAGGGGAAATGCAGGAAAGTGGAATGCAGAGAGACAGAACTCAGAAAGTGGAATGCAGAGAGACAGAACGCAGAGAGTGGAATGCAGAGAGACTGAACACAAAAAGGGGAAATGCAGGAAAGTGGAATGCAGAGAGACAGAGTGCGGAAAGGGGAGATGCAGGAAAGTGGAATGCGAAGAGACAACACGGAAAGGGGAAAAGCAGGAAAGTGAATGCCAAGAGACAATGCGGAAAGGAGAAATGCAGGAAAGTGGAATGTGGAGAGACAGGACATGGAAAGGGGAAACGCAGGAAAGTGGAATGCAGAGCGGCCAAGGTGGAATGCAAGATGCAGGGAGTTGGAGTGTAAGGCACAGCAGTACTGGGGGTTTTGGAGATGGGTGTCCTGGCGTAGATAAAGCATTTGGGGTTCCATCCAAATGCCATGCGCCAGAGCTCCCACTGTCCCGGCGTAGCTATGCATGGCATATAGAGAGCACATTGGGTTTGGATCCTGGTTTATTTTTTCCCATAGAAAGTACAGAGCCCTGAGTTTTGTGACCTTATTTAACCCAGTGTTTCTTTGGGTGTTCAGAGTCAATGTTCCTGTTTCTGAGGGTGGGGGTAGGCAGAAAGAAAGCAACCACCAATGGAAGTTGCCTTGCTTCTAGGTTCCCCCCCCGGACTGATTTAGCCCTGCAGCCAAATTTTCCCACCCCACCCCTGCTATAGAGTAATGTATTGCTAGGGGTAACGGGGTCAACAACCAGATTTTTTAAAAAATCGGTCTTTTTCTCATCCTGCCTGGAATTTTCCACACCCTGTAGGAAAGAGCGCCCTCCACTGGGCTGCAGCTGTCAACAACGTCTGTGCCGCCACCGTCCTGCTCAGAAGTGGAGCCGACAAAGACGCTCAGGATAATCGGGTAATGTCTGTTTCTGGTGACTGCCTCTCGAAACAGTCAGCATAGAGGTGGGGGAAACCCCAGCCCACAAAATGTGGCTTACCACAAGCCAATTTTCTACATGGCTGTGAGGACCTGAGAAGCTAGGGAACAAGAAAAGCTATTTCATACTAGTTCAGAGTGTTTGCCAGGACTGGCCCTAGCATGAACTGCTAGAAAGCTCAGTGGTTGGTTTAGGCACCTGACTAGAGAGCCAGAAGTTGGGAGTTCGAATCCCCGTGTTGCCTCCTTGACAGGGGCTGGACTTGATGATCTGTCGGGTCCCTTCCAGCTCCGCAGTTCTAGGATGATTAAGCAGAAGGAGGTGGTTGCTTCAGGTAGTCGAGAGGGGGCAGCAAGGTGTTTTAAGACTTGTGAGCTCTCCGATTTCTCCTTCATCTTCTAGCCTGCAGCCCTGATCCCACTTGAAATCCCAGGTTTGCATAGGAAGAAGGAAACAAACATTGACATGGTATCAAACTGCTGTACTTGAATTATGTAGATCTATTCTGCCTGAGTGAGATTTTTTAAAAAAAAGGGATATGCAAGTGTTTAGAACTTAAGATCCAACATTCAGAACTGTGGATATAATTTAACTCGACCCAAGGGTTTATAGGCTGGCAGGAGATGAGGGATCAAATATAAATACAGTACATAACACAATGGAACTGTAATAAATAAAACAGTCTTCTTGTTTTCATCCACGTGATCACAACCAGAGGCCTAAGAGTGCAGAAAGCAACATATTGGCTGAAATCCAGTTATATGTCACAACTAGAGTAGGTCTATTGAATCAGTGGGGATTGGGTGAGTCAACTCCTCTGTAAATTCCGCTCGTTGCAAACTGGATTACTCCTGGAGTTGTTGAATCTTGTAGGGAACCTGGTGACAAACTAACCCAGACTGAAGGCTGAAACAGATGAGACGCCTGTTTTCTGAGAAAGATGTGGGTCTTCCAAATGTTCTTTCCTGAACAATTGACCTGCGAATGAATGCCGTGTTTGAGTTCCCAGGTCACTGGAAAAGAGTAATGTGTAATCAAATTTTAAACTGCCCAGAGAGCGATCTAAGCATTATGGGGTGGTATCTAAGCAGCACATTTTTAATCTGCGGAAATGAAATAAACTGATATTGGAATAAACAAATGCCTTTTAACTTTTAAGGGAGCTGATGCTTCTAACTGTGAAGCTTGCTTCTTATCAGTTTGTGCCCTGCGAAGGCCTTGATGCCGGCCCCGAATGGGTGTTCCGTACTGATGTTATTGCTGGAGAAGGCAAGGGACGGCCAGCCTGCCACCTTGAGCAAATTAGAGGAAAGGCAGGATGAAAAAAAATTGCTAGTAAATAAATTGGTGCCAGTCGATCCAACCCTTTTCTCTGTTTTCCTGCCCGCAGGGACAGACCCCACTGTTCCTGGCTGCCCAGGAGGGAAGCTACAAAGCGGCCTGCCTTCTTCTCCAACACGGAGCCAAGCCAAATATCTGGGACCACGTAGGCCGTCTCCCAAAAGACGTGGCCAGAGAGCGCCTTCACCATGACATCCTATCCCTCTTGGACGGCCCTGGGCCCTCCCAGCTCTCCCCACACAGGCCACGCCCACAGCCCCCTCGGGCAGCCAGCAAGGTGCACCGGTTACCAAGGCAACCGGGCAAGACGCCACGGCTACCTCCCGTGCCTGAGCGGGAGGGCTCTTTCAAGGACCTGCCCTGCCCCACGCCACCCCAGAGCCCAGCCGCCAAGGCTGCGGGACTGCCTGCAGAGTGACTCCACCCCTCTGAGCAAGGGTCGGATGGAGGAGGGCCTCAGGAGTCAGTGATGGCGGGCTGAGCCACGGTGTGGCGCTCCCCCGGTGATGTCATGGAGGCCCAGAACGAGGGTGTCATGGGACAAAATGCAGGGAACGCAGGCGGCTTGATATGATGCGGTACCCAAGACCAAATGCCACGGTCGATGTGGAAGAACGAGTGTTACGTTCTTGGCGTGACATCAGAAGACATCTCAGAATACGTTCGATGTCACACAGGATGATGTCACACAGCAAGAAGACCACTTCAGTCAGATGAGGACTGCCGTTTGATGCCAACCCAAGGAAACTTTCACAAGACTGCAGGACCCAAAATCAATGGACTGGAGAAACCCCCCTGCTCCATTTTTCTTGCTTGTTTTTCCCCAGGACACATCTCTGTCATCATTTGTCACATCTTCCTAGTGTCCCAGTGTCCGATAGAAAAGAGATTTTCTAAGGACCAGGTCTAAATGCTGCCCTCCAGTGCAGTGTTTCCCAGGCTTGGGCTCCCCAGATGTTCTTGGACTACAACTCCCAGAAGCCTTCACCACTAGCTGTGTTGCCCAGGATTTCTGTAAGTTGCAGTTCAGGAACATCTGAGGGAACCACTGCTCTATCAGTTTAAAACTCTCTCCCAGATATCCTTGGCCACCCCGGCCAATGGCCCTCCCGGGGGAAAAAAACATATTTACTGTATGGGTGTTGGAGTCAAAAGCGTCTGGCATTCCAGAGCACTCCCCTCCTTGCTTCCATCCTGTTTTACCTTGCAAAAAAAGCAGCCAATCTCTTATTTGCCTGAAAAAGGCACCCTCTGCAGATAGGCCTACATGTGGCAAGCTATTTTGCTCACTGGAGACAAACCTTCATGTCTTCTCTCCTAAGGGCCTGTCCACATTGGCATATAGATATGATATATGGTTCCCTGATAGCACAGTTTGGCATAAGGAAAAAAAGCCATTGTTCACTTGTATTTGAACACCCTTCCCCTTTAAGAGCTGGCCCTCTATCTTTCTGGCACAGAGCTAGGGCATGCAGTCTTTTTGGCATGATTCACTGAGATGCAAAAAAAATGCTTTTTGTTTTGCCTTCACAGATGGGTGCCAAGAGTTAAACCAGATTGTATTGGAGTTTAGGACCTTTTAAGCACTGGCTGGATTGCACCAAATTTTAGTGTGGACAGCCCTAGGTAAGATCAGCAGGCTGAAAGGTGAGGTGCTGGGCCTAGCCTGGCTTGGCCTGTGGGGTTCTTCCCCAGTCCATCTCCAGGAAGGGAGAACCTGTTCTTTTAACAGTCACCTGATCTAAAGCAATTTAGGAAGTAAGGATTTTCCTGCCAAAGTGCTGGGGGAAAATCGCTGGTGAAAATTGGTGTGCCAGGCTCCTATTAAAGGCAAACAACCAATCATAATTCCCTGACACACTCCACAATATCAAGGAGTAGGTGATGCCTTTATTAGATCACTAAAAACATTCATCATACAGCCTGCTAGCTTTCATGGATCGAAGCTCCCTTCTTCAGGCGTGCACTCATCTCTTGCAGTTAGTGCAGAGAACTTAAGAGTCCCAAAAGTTCATGGCAGATGGTTGTGCCAGGCTTGTTTCTTAGAGGGAAGTTAGGAAAGGCACAGGCTGCATGGAAGGTGTGGTGTTCAAGTTACAACTGAGGAAGCTGTTGAGGGGCTATCACACTGCAGCTCCTCAGGCAAAGGAGCCCAGGCTATGCTTATCCCTTCTTTTGAAACTAGACGTTTCTATTCTGGACTGACACAAGTCTGGCACATCATCTTCAATCAGGGGCAAATCTACTATGAAACTAATGAAGCTTAAGCTTCTGAGCCTCTAATCCTGGAGCAGCCCCAGAAGCAACGTTAGTCCACATTTTTTAAAAAAACTTGTGGTGATCTGTTATGAAATAACCCCATTGAAGAAGATAACAGTGGTTACCCAGACCTTGTTGCTGGTTGCAAAGGGTCCCCCCATAACAGTTCAAGCTTCAGAGCCCCAAAATTGGAGGTCCACCACTGTCTGCCATGAACTTTGGGGGCTCTAAATTCTCTGCATTAATGACAAGACACAGGTTCATGCCTGAAGAAGTGGGCTTAGATCTGTGAAAGCTGGGGTTTTTTTTTGTTTTTTTTTTTTGAGTGGTCTAATAAAGATATCACCTAAGCTTGCACTGTATTGTAAGGACCACACGGCTCTCTTTGTGTTTTCTTTCACATTATCAAGGTTACTTTTTTATTATTATTCATTCCCCTGGCCTAGGGCAGAAAATAGGTTCAGAAGTTGATCCTTGTTAAGATCTGTGCCTCGATTTACATCCTGAATATTGGAAAATATAAAATAATCAACTGTTGATCCTCAGCTGTTAAATCTTACCTCAAGTAGTCTTTTGAAGTACAGTATCAAAACATCCATTTCCAGTTTTATGGAAAATATTATTTACTGAAAAAAAAAACACTACTATCTCAGCTAAAACATATGTCAGCTCCACATTGGGACACCAATTAGCCTGACAAGATTCCAATTTATCCCTATACTTCTTTTTTTTAACCCTTGTGGGGTAATTGGACCTTTATGAAGAGGCAGACAGTCAACAAATCCAGATACAGTGGTGCCTCGCTTAACGATTTTAATTGGTTCAAAAAAAAATAGCTGTGAAAACATCGTTAAGTGAAACACCATTTCCCATAGAGATGCATTGAAAACCGGATAATCCATTCCAATTGGAACGGATTACCGTCCTTAAGCGAAAATCACCATAGGAAAAAACGTTAAGCGAAACGCGGTTCCTCCATTGAAATGCATTGAAGCCTATTTCAATGGGGGGGGGGAAATTCACAAAAAATTCAAAAAGATTCAGAACAAAGCCAAATTAAGTTAACGAAGGTTTTATTAGGGGCACTAACGATTCCAAGCATTTTAAACATTTTTAAACATTTTAGAATATTTTAAAAATAGCGAAAATGGGGCTGTCAAAAAAAAGTTAAGCGAAACAAGGGGACCTAAAACCAAAAACGTTAAGCGAAGCATGGTCCCGAAATCGTTAAGCAAAAATCACCCATAGGGAAAATTGTTAAACGAAGTGCAAGATCGCTCCAAAAAAATCGTTAAGCGAATTTTTCATTATACGCAGCAATCGTTAAGCGAGGCACCACTGTATTTGTAGGACTGGAAGCCAGAATACCTGTAACTCAATAACCAAGTCTCCAAACCCAATAGAAACGGCCTTCCAGGATCTTAACATCTTTCCACATAAACACTTTTGTTGTCAGTTGTTCGTGACATAAGCGAAGCCCTACCCTGGGTCACCATACTTGTCGGCATGGTTAACTTGGCTTTCCTCAGCTTGGTACCCTTGGCCATTTGGCTTTTAATCAGCAGAAGCTTCAGTCAGCGAGGCCAATGGTAAGAGACTGTGGAAGATGGGCTCCCAAACATCTGGAGAACTGAAGGTTCTCTTCTCTTGAACAATCCAGTCCTCAAACTGGAATCCCACCTTTTTTTTCTTCCCTAGAAAAACAGACCAATTCAACAGAGGGGGCTTGTTCCAACCCACAGATAACATTATAGCAACTTTCCCTGTTGAATGTCCACAGTTACAGGATCACTGCTACAAAGAAAAGAGGTGTGGGGAAATCAAGCATTTAGTTCATAATGTTGTTTTTGAAGGATAACCATGTTAGCCTTTTTATAGCTCACATACACAGACCACTCAATGAGACCTGTGTTGCCTTAAAAACTCAGATCTTGTGGCTGAGGTTTATTCCACAACACAACTATTAGTCTTTAAGGTGCCACATGGCCCTTTTTTGTGTATTAAGGCTGTTCTCGGGAGAGATTATTTTTTTTCCAACTACAGCTCTCAGAATATCCAGCTCATTGAGGGACAATGTGTTGCAATTTTTAAAAGAAATAAAATTTTCCATCTCTGTGATACAACAAAAATTTCTCTCATCTATTTTTTCCTCTGTTTTGATGAAGACAGAGGACTGGGTGGCTATACCTTAGAAGAAAAAGCACACTTTAAAAACCTGCTATAAATAACCTTTTTTTTTTATCAAACTGCTCAAGATGGTTGTTCCAGTTGTGACCACAAGGTGTCAAACATGTGCCACCTTAAAAACAGGAATACCTTCTCCATAAGAAGTTCCAGAAATACTTCTGCAATTCACGTTTTTTTCTCTCAGAGGTGGCCACACTGGTTTCAAAGCCATTTTCGAGGGGGGAAATGCATGAACAGCAAAACAGTACCATCTTGCACCAGACACGAAAGGAACTGGTACCTCACAGGAGTCTCACACCAGCCACCAAAACCGTAGGTAGAGCATAAGTACCACGAAGATCAGGCTGGTGGCTGCGGCTTTGGCGTAAGCCGAGCGGCTGTTGAGGAATTTGGCATCCTGGCGGTATTTCTTAGAGAGTGTGGACAAGTTGCTGGCCTTTGTATCCAAAGCTGTAGAGAGAGGAATGGGCAAAAGGAGTATACGTTGTCCCAACGTTTCTCCAAAAGCATGCATTCAGTGAGGAAGGCACAAGACAGGGCCTTCTCTGTGGCTGCTCCCAGACTTTGGAACTCCCTCCCACTGGAGACCCGCCTGGCCCCATCCCTGCTGTCCTTCCGCAAGCAGGGGAAGACCTTCCTCTTCAGTCAGGCCTTTCCTTTGTGATGAGCTGTCTGAGAGGAGTTTTTTAAATGGATGAAGACCTTCCTCTTCAGGCAGGCCTTTCCTTTGTGATGGGCTGTCTGAGAGGAGTTTTTTAAATGGATTGTTGTACCTTGTCGCCTTTAAATGTATTTTTAGTTTTACTTTTATTTCCTGTTTTTGACATAGTATTTAATTCTTTTAAAATATTTGTATATTTACTGCTTTCACTGTTAAATGTTGTCTTTTTAATTATGTACGCCTCCCTCTTCAGGCAGGCCTTTCCTTTGTGATGGGCTGTCTGAGAGGAGTTTTTTAAATGGATTGTTGTACCTTGTCGCCTTTAAATGTATTTTTAGTTTTACTTTTATTTCCTGTTTTTGACATAGTATTTAATTCTTTTAAAATATTTGTATATTTACTGCTTTCACTGTTAAATGTTGTCTTTTTAATTATGTACGCCTCCTTTTCAAGGAGAAAGCTGAGGTAAAATATTTTAAATAAATAAACAGATCTTTAAAATTCTACTGAATTTGGACTACAACTCCCAGAATCCTGTAGAGAGCATGGCCAATAACACAGCTGGCTGGGGATTCTGAGAGTTGGAGTTCCAAAAAGTGACTTTCCCCACAATTAACAACACAACATAGGCCACACCTCAGAGTCCCACCCCACTCCTTTCTGCAGCCCCTTCCTGCCTCTACCTGACAGGGCCTCCCCTCGCTGGAGCACCTCTTCAATATTGGTGACCATGATCTTCTGAACGTCCTGTAGCTCCAGGTTGATGCTGCTCAGGTGACGCTTTGACCAAGTATCCAGGTAGGATTTCTTCAGCTTCTGGATATAAATGTCTAAACAAAAGGATTTCACAAATCAGTATCTTTTGCCACCAAATCAGAGATGGGGGACTGCTTAAGGGTCTTTCGGCTAATCCAGCAAGATCATTCTTACTTAGATCTTACCTAATAACCCATGATAATCTTG